ATTGATCTGGCGATCAGATACATTTATCAAGGTAACCCTGGTCTTAAGATAAACGCCGCTGACCTAAAAACGCTTTTTACCTTCGCAACAGCTGAGACTGGTTTCTTGTTTAAGGGTGTGTTTTATGATCAAATAGATGGGGTTGCCATGGGGTCCCCACTTGCTCCAGTACTTGCAAACCTCTTTATGGGACATCATGAAAAAAACTGGCTAGATAACTATTCATTCTCTGAAGTTCTGTTCTACAGACGCTATGTTGATGACACCTTTTGTTTGTTCAATAGCGAGGAGGACGCGCTCGTGTTCTTTGATTATATCAACGCCAGGCATCCTAGTATTCGTTTCACAATGGAAAAGGAAATTGATAAGAAATTATCGTTTCTAGACATATTGTTAGACAACAATCATACATCCATCGTCACTAGTGTATATCGCAAGAAGACGTTTACTGGCCTTCTTACTAATTATTTCAGCTTCGCCCCTTTGATTTACAAATTAGGTTTAGTCAGAACGTTGATTGACAGAGCATACAAGATCAATAATTCCTGGGTTGGTTTTCATCTGGATGTCAAGAAACTTATTTTCTTGCTACGGAAAAATTGTTTTCCATCTTGGGTCATAGACAAGATCATTTACAGGTATCTAGCGAAGAAAAAGAATCCTCCTACTGGGCAGAACGCCTCTTCTAACTCCGGTAAACCTTCTGCGCACTATTATAAACTTCCCTACGTTGGTCGGTTTTCGAACATCGCTCAGACTAAGTTAAGACAACTACTCAAACGTTATTGTAGAACTGATTTAGATATTAAGTTAGTCTTCAGTACGTTTAAACTCAGAAACATGTTCAGTGTGAAAGATTCAGTACCGCTGGGTCTACGTTCGCGTGTCATATATAAATTTTCATGTGCTGGCTGTAATGTCAGTTATATTGGTGAGACCACTCGCCACATTTGTACACGAGTTCGTGAGCACCTCTTGTCGGACAAAACTTCGCATATTTACAAGCACCTGCAATCATCAAGGGCCTGTCTTGACTCTTGTGATACTGAATGTTTCACGATCTTAGATTCTGCCCCTTCAAAATACCAAATTAAGATCAAAGAGGCATTGCATATTAAGTGGGAAAAACCTATCCTTAATCAGCAATTGAAACATCTAGAATTGTCTCTTTCCTTTTAATGATGTTGTTCCTTGGTCTTTTAATTTATTTTTATTATTATTACATTTATTTATTTATTTTTTATTTATCTATTTATTTTTTGATCTAGTCAAGCGCTCGCTATTTACATCTTTCGCGTTTTTAACATTCAAATGTAACGTAAGCACTGACACGTAGTTTGTAACGTACCCTTATTTAAATTCAAATGTACAACAGTTAAATGCTCATTTGCAACTGAAAATGACATGAGAATGTCGAAACATGTCTTGTAAATTTAAACTCAAAGTTGTTGTTTCTTTTTTGAGAGAAATCTCAAGGAGTTGTTTACCCAGCCCACCCCGTTGGGTACTACTCGTGAAACGTACGCAATTGTGTCACGTGACTAGTAAATTAATAACGGAAAAATGTCGCTACGCGTAAGCTTGAAAATATAAAAATTATCGTTGTTTTATAGTCAACTTTCACCGGTTAAAGCTTTTGAAATTCCCTTTTCTTGTAGGTTACTATCTAGAACAGTAAATTTGGAGGTAAATTCGAAAGGAAAAAGTGATGGTTATGAACAACGAATCGCAGAAAACAGGATCGCCAACGCAGGCACGACAACTTGCCGAAAGCGACGACATAGCAAGTAGTTTAGTGTTGGACTCTATGCTCGGCTTCACCACACACAAAATGGCAGCACGATTTCGGCCTCTTAAAGTCGATCAAGAGGTGGTGAGGAAGGCACTGGAAAGATATCGTCAGGATGGAGATTTGGAACAAGCCTACAACGAAATCGTATTCAACGCTGGGGATTGGGGAAGATGTTATTTCATCACTAAATCTAAACCTCAAATTGCGGCTTTCAAAGAACATGTAAGTGGAACAGGCTTGTAATCATACTCGCACGTTAAAAGCGTCAAATTTGCTTTATTCTTGGATATTTGGATAAGTATAGGACGCTTAAAACAAATGTCAAACTTGCAATCCGCTCTTTGCATTCAAGCAATCTTCCGTCTAAGCGCGTGTTCGTCATTGTGCGACGATCTTTGGTCAAACTTTTGTGCGTTTCTAATTAATTTATGCGGAATCGATTCTGCAGATTACTTTAAGACTCATCGTAGATTTTGGTAACTGTCTGTAATGTGCATGTAGTTTTAGATCCGACCTCTTCCTTTTCTCAAGTAGGTTTTTTTCTTAACTGTAAGAATTTCGCTTTCCACATCCCTCCCACTTCCGTCGCCATAATGGCAGTTGGGATGACGTAATAGTTTTTGCTGAGTTACGCATCGACGGTTTCACAGTGGCAATCACTTCCTGTTAGTGCAGTACATCGAGCTCGTGTAAGCAAACTTTGGTGAAAATTATGTACGGTGAAGACCACACATGTCCAACTTAAGTAGGGATCTTTCTGGCTAAATAATTACAAGGTGCTATTTACACAAGTGGAACTCCAGGGTTGTGGTCCAAGTAATCTTATCATCAGTTATTTGTATATTTGTCCTTAACTCCAAATGGATTGATGAAAGGCACAATACTGTGAAAAGTGAAGTAATGAACTGGCACCATGCAATATTAGTCTATTCACCACTCAATCAGCACTTCACCTTACAGAATCAGCAATTTCTCTCTTCATTTTGTCTTTTTTTAACTGGAAATTGTTTTGACTTGGCTTCTTATGTTATTGAGTTGTACAAGCACATGTACTTGATAGAAGTTTATTCTAAAGTTTTTTTTGTTTCCTCAAATTTCATTAGTCAATATTATCTCAATTGGTGGGTCAATCTCTGTGTGTGAGTGTCACCAAGTGAAAAACTTAATGAACTTTGACATATTGTTTATGCATAAGCTAGATATATAGGCAGTAGGATTGTTTTGGATTGCACTACACGTAACCAAAGCAGAAGAACGTCTCTTTGCATCAATGAATTCCTAGTTATCTAGGTAGATTAGGACAGATTAAACTTCTGTCGTCTTCAGTTACCATTGTGGATGGTATGATCAGCAAATGATTGCTGTTTACAGTTTTTGGTCTTTTTGTGGACAGGGCTCTTCCAGAGTGTTAAGTAAGCTTTGGACATTGCAAAATTCTCAAGCTACAGTGTGGTTTATTGAATTCTCTGGGTAAATTTCAATGGCCTGAGTTACTTTTTTATTCACACATGTACCACATTCTTTATTTACTTTAAACTCTTCTCCAGAAACTTAACTAAACCCTATACACCCTAAAATTGGTATTGATATTCTCTATGCTGTTCTCTATATATTTTCTGATACTACACTGACAAGGGGAATTTGTTTGACATTCAAGAACTTCTTGAATTGATGATCATTTCCTTTATTTACATGACATTTGTATTTGATTCAAGGTTGATACTGTTGGGCAGGCACTCACTGGGTTGGGACTTTTACTTTCTAGATCTTGTAACAATCCATCATGATCTTCATAGCACTGAGTTTCATTTCATTGTATTTGCATTTTGATGAATCCTCATTTAAGGCCATGAGAAATAATTTCTTAATTTCTTTGTATCCCTCCAATTTATTTAGATTTTAATTCAGAAATTTCTCTGTGGTTTATTTCTAGGTCTTCAGATATATTGGGATATTCAGTAAAAACTCTGGTTACAAGGTTGTGCCTTGCAGTCGTTATTCAGGAGAAGATAATGGGGCTAAAGTTGTGGCTACTTGTGAATGGTGAGTAAGGTTCAGTGCAGGAGAAGAAATAGTAGCTGTTAGAATTTGTTTGACACTTTACACCTTAACATCAGTGATATACAAGTTCGCGATTCTGTTCTCTAGAGATTTCCTGATCTATTCCTTCAATATCATGACCTTTACTCGTGATAATTTGCAATTATATTAAGGAGAAATTTGATGCTGTGATCATTCTTGGTGTCTAAAGGGGTTCAATTTTCTCTCCAGGAGCAAAGGTGATAAGCTGCCTTATCTGTGTGGCTGCATTGCGGAAATGAATGAAGAGGAGGAAAAGAAGTTACTCCGCCCAGGAGAGAATGACTTTAGCATCATGTTCTCCTGTAGGAAGAATCTATCTCAGCTTTGGCTTGGTCCTGCTGCCTACATTAACCACGGTAAAACATATTTTGAATTAAAAAACAGTATATAAATCATGATATTAAAATGCAGTTAGATTTAGCTATTAATGCAAATTGTGGTATCATGTTGAAAAACTCAAACCTGTTTGATTTTTCAGTATTATTTGTTGGTGCAACTCCAAGTACAGTACTAGGCAGTGATGTGCTGTTAACCTTGATCTCTTTTTCATACAGCCTGTGTAACAGGTGTTTTAATTAAGATAGGGGTCATTTTAAATGCATGTGGGAGAACAAGGAAGTGTGCTAGGACTGTTTCTCCATTTTTTTACCATTTTGTTTTTTTGTGGCTTGCACTAAGAGAAAGCCACACGTACTCTTTCTTTTTGGAAAAGGTATTGGCTTACAAGAAGGGTTATTTTGTTTACTACGCTGCTGTCTTGCAAATTTTAAAGTGTAAGAGCAACAGACTGATGAATGAGATTAGAATGTGTAAATTTCATGTGAATTTCTACTTTGTCTTTTATTGCAGACTGCCGTCCCAATTGCAAGGTGAGGTATATCCATACTTCGTAGAATGACTTAAGGAACATAGAAATGTGTTCTGTTTCACTATGAAATTAAGCTTTCAAATTTACAAAACTTGTATCAAACTTCTGAGAGCGTATTGAAGAATTTTTTACTTAAACTGTGCTATTTATTCTTAAATGTAAATTCTAAGAAACAAAGATACATCAAGTAAAGTTCTTTTTTAAAAGGAGCTCAATTTTTACACCCATGTGAATTGCAGTTTCAAGGTTAAACTGAACCTATTTTTGATCCAATTTAACATGTCTGTTTTTTTTTTTTGGTATCAGTTTGTGTCTACAGGTAGAGAAACAGCGTGTGTGAAGGTGTTACGAGACCTTGAGCCTGGAGAAGAGATTACTTGTCACTATGGTGATGACTTTTTTGGTGACAAAAACTGTAACTGTGAATGTGTGACATGTGAGAGGTATTTTACCTGTTTTGTTCTATTGCTTTAAATAAATAAATAATGGGGTTACGTGTGAGTCATTTAAGTTGATCTGTGGCCAATCAAACTTCAGCTCACAATATTTGAAGGACTAATCTAAGCCATGTGGAGGTTGCCATAAAACAAATTGGAAACAACAAACTTATTTTTAAGATTGGTTGAATAAGGAAGTTGAAAACAGAATGTAAATGGGTTTCTTAAAAGTTCAAGACAATAGTTTTTTCACTCTGAATCTCATCAGATTGTAAAGTAGAGTTCCTTTGGTTTCTGGATGCGCTGATTTTAAGCTTTATGGCAAACAACAGAAGATGAACCAGAACACCAAGGCACAAATCCCTTAACTTTCACTTGGTGGTTTATCCCAAGGGGCAAATAGGATTTTTTTTTTGCCAACTCTACGCCATTTATTAAAAAAGTGCTTAATATTGCAACTAAATTTGGGTTGCAGACGAGGTGAAGGTGTCTTCAAGTCTAAGGTTAAGACTGTGGACAAGAAGCAGAAGTACAGCTTTAGAGAAACAGATAAAAGACTGAAGAGATTGGCACGAAGGATGACAGGTAAATGTGGTCAGAATGGTTACATGACTTGTGCATAGATATATATGCTGACAATGGTTTGCTATGATTATTATAAAGAAATGTGCTGAGCTCTTGTTTTCAACACTTCACTTATCTCAGTTCACAAGTACAGGGCAACAAATTGTAGTAGAAAGCTGACAAATACTGAGGTACAGTTAGTAATCTCATACTGGTTGTCATATTCACCAGGAGGGTTGCAAAACTCCTAAAAGCTATGACCAACTAGAGACAGATTAAACCTCACCCTGCTGTATCCGTTGACAAAGGATCTGTATGTGTAAAAGTTGGTCAAGGTACCCCTCTGTAGCCTGGAAATTCATCTTTTAAGTTGCCACCAATTCTTTTTAAATACAACTTTATTGATCACAGCATTTTCCTTTTTTTCTTGCAGATACATTCCTTGATGTTGAAAACGATCCTTCGCCAAAAGTGCTGCCAGCTTCAGATGAAAGTGAAGCAGCAAGCAAGTTTCAGGGGGAGATAGATTGTTTGATTTCAGTGGACCTATGCACAGTTGAAAGAGCTGATGGGGTGGACACTTCTAATGCTATTCCTGCACACAAGTTCTACTCAAAAACAAATAGACCCAAACCACGAACAAGTGTCACAATTGGCTTGGATGAACTGAATGTTGGAAGGAGAAAACGAAGGAAAAAGGGCCCAAAGTTATGCATGCCAACAAAGCGTAAACGAACAAGACACACTTTTACAAGTGCATATGAAGAAGTCCCTCCAGACAGCATATGCAAATATATTCCTCCTGTAAGACATGTTTCTGTTGACAGTGGTGTGGAGATTACAGACAACGTTGATGGTGATTTAATCACATATCCCGAGAAATATAAGACTATTGTGGATGGGGTAGATTGCTTTCCTACAAGAACATTGGGAAAATCTGTTGCCACATACATGTTGTCTGGGAGACCTGTGTCTGTTGATATGCCAGTGAACTCTTTTCCATTGTTCAGAAATAGTGCTAGTTATAGATGCCCGTGTTGCCCCTAATCTTTTTATACATAGCTTAGAACTTTCTCTATCACAATGTGCATGCTTACTCTAGATACAACTTACTCAAGGATTGTATCGTCCTCTGTGTTTTTCTAGTTCTTAGTTGGTCAAATGAAAGACTCAGTATGTTGGTAAATGTGCAGTGAATTTAAAAAACTCCTACTAAGTTAAATGTAGCTGTCAAAAACATGGCTTGTACAAGTTTAATGTTGTAAATTATGAAAAAATGGCAGTTAAACATTTACTTCTCAATGTCTAACAGATCTTTATGGTATTACCACAATCTCTTTCAATCATCTACAGAACACCCAAAGTGAAAAAAAAAATAATAATAATGAAGCAAGAGAAAAAGAATTAGTTGGAGATTGGCAAAATCCTTCCCATAACTTATCATTATTCCAACCTATTAAAATGTGATGTTGTTCATCTGATTCCAGTTGTCTTATGACTGGATAAAGCCATCCTCAAGATAAAATACTAATAGTAATAATTCAAAAGATTATTATCTTTTTTGTGAACATTTTTCTGGTACTGGTAAAGGTTTCTTGATCTTAAAGTGCATTGTAGATCAATTATCGTGCTTTGGGACAACCAGTTCCTGGTATCTAATATGAGTAGAATTGTAATAACGTTATTGTCATTATCATAATTTCAATCTGTAGATCATCCTTCTTAAATATTTCTGGAGTGAAATTATGATTCAATCTTTGAGTTGTTTTGTTAAAAAAAAAGAAAACAGAAACAAAAAAGAAACACTCTGGCATGATTTTTACTTGGACTGTTGACTTGCTAATTTCCACATGTTGTTGAACTTATACAAACATTTCTTTAGTACCATTAAAAAGAAGAAAAAAAAGCTAAATTTTTAAAATTGAGTTCGAGGTCCCCCTTCTAAGTTTTAGGTGTAACTTTTCTTGATGTGAAACAAAAATGCAAGAGAAAGGAATGATACTTTATTGTAACTTAAGTGGAAGAGCTGCACTAGTTTGTAGTTAAATTAATATTTTGTCATTTTTACAAACATTCAAAAATTTACTCCAAAAAAATATGTCCAGTTGGCGAGATTACATTTTAGGTGATACTTATGTTAAGTATGACATCACATTATGTTGTAGAAGTCCTCTCTCTGAATGGGTCGTAAATTATAACATCTTCATTTTGTGTCAGTCACTGTAATGAGAAAGTGTTCCCCAAGGGTAATAAAATACCACTTGTGTATCTCTTACTTGTTTCATTCTCAGGAGCAAACAACACTCCTTACAGTTTTTCTGTTTACAAAGATTATCATCCTTGGAGACCCAGGGGCTGTGGGTCAATTTCAAGAAATCGACTCACAGTCCCTGGGTCTCCAAGGATGAAAGATTATGGGAACCAAGGAATTCTTGTTAGTTGTAAAACAATCTTATTCAGAACAAGCAACTAAATAGTGTATTGTAATCAGATGGGAGAATCACCAATTTCAAAACATGAGGAGTTAAAACAATATAGTTAAAAAAGTGATTTAGTATACATTGACCTATTGGTGACTCTCACTGCCTGACCTTATTTACCCTTAGGAAGGAGGGGATGAATCTATTGCTTTTTACCTTGCTCTCTTTGTCTCCAGCCCCTTAAATTCTTGTCTTGTGACCCACATTTACAGATATTTGCAAGTTTGCATCACCCACTTCCTGCACTTCACTCCCATTTTTTAAACCCAGTAGAGCCCTTCCTCCTCTCAGGCCCTGGTTATTATTGCATGGGAAATTGGAGTATAATTTATTTCTTTGGGTAATGCACCAGAATATTGCTCAACAATCATTACTCTTAGGCAAAGATGGAAGATGAGCTCTATGAGATTGCAATTGAAAAATTAAAAACATGAAAGGCATGTCAGCATTCTGTCACTTAAATTGCCATTCCTTTTTTGCGCACTGATTCAGATTTCTTACAGTGATTGTAAATTGATGGCATTTATTGCAGCATATATCAAATTTCTTTGATATACATATGGTTTAATGTATATTACAAATTTTTCATTTGGTGGATATTAAAAAATATGAAAGAGAAACAATTACATTCTTGACGTGCTTATCTGTGAATTAATTACATGGATTAAAAAAGGTCTAAAATATCTGTGGTAAACATTATGCATACAAATAAATTAAGAACTTAACCCTTTCACTCCCACAATCTCGTTAGTAATTCTCCTCCTTGTCTTTCATACAACTCTTG